TCTAGAAAACTCTTTACACTGTTCTCACACTCAAAAATATTCTGGATGTTAAAACAACAATCATAACAGAGTTCCAAAGAATCATGTTTGGTTTTTTGTTTCAGTTTTCTGTTTAGTGTTGCCCAAATTAATAGTGACAACTCTGTTGCATGCACCTATGGAGTCAGCAAGATTATACTAAGAACATTTTGACAAAATATGGAAATGAGTAGGATTCTGGCACTATTTGTTCCCCTTGTATTACCAGGCAGGGGAAGAAATTTTGTATTTTGTTTGCCAGTTGCCATCATACTTACAGAGCCCAGGGTATGATTACCTACAGGAAACTGTGCCTCTTAATGACCTTTTCTCAGTGGTGACACAACGTGTATGACAAAGAAACTAATTGCAGTAAAGATTGTATGCAGCTCAAGTCCGGGTAGCTTAATTGAAGCTAATATTGTTGCTGATAGCTATGAATATGTTTAAAGAATTTGTTGTGAAAGCTCCTCTTATGTTTACAATTGTGATTCAGCCTCCATGGCAATGAGATTACAGTTCAGGAGATTCCTGGTACTGTGGGGATAATGTTAGCTTACGCAGTGCATGTATGTGTGTGTGTGTGTGTGTGAGAGAGAGAGAGAATGAACTTCTGTTTAGAATATTTCCATACAGAAAAAAAGAGATGTTTCCTTATTTATTAACACAGATTTCTATGGTTACTATGAAACAAACCATCCAAAGATCTTGGTATCTATTAGTTGATGTGTGGCTGTTCTGACATACACTTCTTCATTACTTCACACACATGTGACAACTTTGCTGACAGGAACTTCACAAGGTTTGAAGAGAGCTTCGGAATACACTAGGAGTTACCCTGGCCAATCACTCTGCAACTAGACTGCTGACACAATCTTGCGGCCAGTGAGTGTGGGAATGCATTGATGTTGTCCACGAAAAGCCAGCAATCTAGCAGGGGGCAACCATAAATAGGCTATGTGCACACAAACTATTGGATAGGATTAGAGAGAAGGAAATGATTAATTCTGCTTGAAAAATAAAAAAAAAGAGAGTGAAAAGTGGCTTTGAGGTTCACTACTATGCTCCAGAATGTTACATGCAACCCATTTTCCATGCCTTGTCAGTCTTCTCCAGACAAGCAGAGGAAATGGTAGGCTTTGGAATCTCACAGCCCTGGCCCTGATTGAATTTCAGCTCTACTACCAACAACCACAATATTCAATGACATGGTTTAGTTCCATTGATTGGCTTCTTCATGGATACAGAGTTGGTGGCATCATTTCCTTAGGTTATGAAGTCTAAGGACATAATCAATGTAAAGTGTGCACGTTGTAAGTGCCCCATCAATGTTAGTCTCCTCTCCCCACTGTCCTTCATTCTCATCCCTGCACTTAGTGATGTGGAAAAACCAAGTTCTCTCTGCTGAGGATGATCATCTGATCATTCTTTCTGCATTTCAGAGTACTGTAGATTCTGAAAGCTAAGTAATTGAGTAAGAAATGATAAAGGAGATGTCATCAGTGGTTAGTTCTGCTGGTTGCTTCACACACCTTTATTCTCAGTAAAACCATAATGCAAGTAGTTTTTCCCTGGAGTGAAGACTTTTCCTACTATGGTGATATTTTGTATGACTTCATTTATTATATTGTGTGTATACATCTATGGGTACCCCCCAGGACCTTAAGATAGGCTTGTGTCAGCCTGGCATGTTAGCTTAGCAGCTAAAGTCCTCATCTTGAAAGTGATGAGATCCCATATGGGTGCCGGTTCTAATCCCAGCAACCTGTTTCCCATGCAGCTCCCTGTTTGTGGCCTGGGAAAGCAGTCAAGGACAGCCCAAAGTCTTGGGACCCTGCACCCACATGGGAGACCTGAAAGAGGCCTCAGGCTCCTGGCTTCGGATTGGTTCAGCTCCAACTATTGTGGCCATTTGAGGAGTGAATCAATGGGCAGAAGATCTTCTCTGTCTGTCTTCCTCTCTGTATATCTGACAGTGCAACAAAAATAAATAAATCATAAAAAAGATAGGCTTGTGACTTCTTAGCAAGACTTCAAAATTAACGTATATTGAAATCACATAAAAATAGTTGGCAAGCCAACACACAGGAAAATAAAAGCTGTGGTGAGTAAATGTATGTGACTTACTTAGATTTTGATATATCTTTCATATTTGTATACTTCTTCATTACAAATAGTTAACTGGGGGTTGGGCATTGACTAGCAGTTAAGATGCTCATTTTCCATATTATAGAGCCTAGGTTTTAGTCCTGGTCTTGGCTTCCCATGTCAGCTTCCTACAACTCAAACTATGGGAGGCAACAGTGATGGTCCAAATAATTGAGTTCCTGCCATCCACATGGGAGATCTGGATTGACTTGCTGGCTCTCAGCTTTGCGCTTTGGCCAAGCACTGGGTCACTAAGGGCATCTGAGGAGTGAGCCAACAGAAACATTCTCTCTCTTTCTCCCTCTCAAATTAATCAAACAACATTTTGTAAAAAGCAATGAATCCCAAATGCAAACTTTCTTAAAAACAGTTGGTAAGGAAAACAAATTTGTTATGTTCCCCTTTCTTTTCTATCAGCATAGCAAAGTTTTATATAGAGCTAATGATTGAAATGCTCTTTACTATTCAATTCGAATTTTAGCTGGGGGTCAGAATTCCTTTGGCCTTCTAGTAGATTAGGATGCAAGCATCCAAGTAAATGTTCTCAGAATGAGCTGTGCTTTCTTCCTATCTCAGGCAAGAGTGCACAAAAGAGACTTCCTTGCTTATTTTTTAAAAAGTCCTAATCATCCATGAAGACATCTGCTATACCCTAATGTCACTGTTTAAATGCTACTACTAGCTTCCCTGTATTGCTTCAGTTAAAGGACAAGTGATTTTAACCAAAAGCTCCAAGGATGTGGGAGGAACTTTGTTTTCCTCATGTGATAAAAAAAGGGGAGCAGTCGAGGCCAACCGCGGGCTCTGTCCCAGGAGCTCATTCAGGGAAGCAGTTCTCTCTGGTCAAAGCTCATGGAAGTGCTGCTGGTGGAGTCAAGCCTGAGGGGAGGAATGAAGAACAGGAGATAACCAAGAACTGCACACATTATTTGAGTTCAAGTCTCTCTGGTCTGAATTTGGGCATAAGATCGCCCCTAGCTTAAAAAAAAAAAAAAGCTGAGAATTGTGGTTTATAACTGAGTGGCCATATCCCAGATTATAACTTGAGGAGTTCTAATACAGAAATTGATCAGCGGATGGCTACCTAGATAGCAATCTTACTCACACTCCATTAGACAACAGTTGAAAGAGAACAACTGCTACATAATGGAAGAATAGAAACTCCCTCACTCTTTTTGAATGTCCAGTCAAGAAATATTTCTCCAACTTAAAGTTTTAACTGGGGTAGACGTTTGGTCTAGTGGTTAAGACACACCCCTGTCCCACAATATAGTATCTGAGTTTGAGTCCCAACTCTGTTCCCAAATCCAGCTGCTTGCTTGCCCTGGGAGGCAACACGGGAGAGGTAGATTGACTGCCCAGCTTTAACCAGGCCCAGCCATGACCACTGTAGGCATCTGGGGAATAAACCACCCAGATGAGTGGTTTTCAGCATCTCTCTCCCACTATCTTCCTTCTCATGTAGCAGCTTCTAGCTATGTCTTCAATAGTATCTTCATTATCTCCCCCAGCTCTACTGCAAACTCTGAAGCCAGTGGGAATCTTATCAAATATAAACCAGATGACTTCATTTCTCTACAGACTTTTCACTGGCATGAGACTCAAATCTAAACTCTACCATGGCCTTATGGTTGCCCTATCACCTTTTCCTTTTCCTCCTTCTCCACTTTCTTCTAATGTTTGCTTGTTTTTTCTGTGAATATATTGCGTTTTTTGTCATCTCATGTTTTTGCCTCTTGTTCTTCTGCTTAAACTCTGATCTTCATAATACTGCCTTCCATTTATCAGGTCCCAATCCAATTGTGACTCTCAGCAAGGATTTCCATGACCACCCAGTAATAACAGCCACACCCTCCCCAGCCACCGTGGGTGGCTGAAATTACCCAAAAGTATATCCCATACAAGACACATAAGAATCATCATTATTGGGCCCAGCGCGGTGGCACAAGTGGTTAAAGGTCCTCGCCTTGCACGCCCGGGATCCCATATGGGCGCCGGTTCTAATCCCGGCAGCCCTGCTTCCCTTCCAGCTCCCTGCCTGTGGCCTGGGAAAGCAGTAGAGGACGGCCCAAAGCCTTGGGAACCTGCACCCGCGTGGGAGACCCGGAAGAGGCTCCTGGCTTCGGATCGGCATAGTATCGGCCCGTTGCGCTCACTTGGGGAGTGAATCATCGGACGGAAGATCTTCCTCTCTGTCTCTCCTCTCTGTATATCTGCCTTTCCAATAAAAAAATAATAAAAATAAATCTTTAAAAAAAATAAAAAATAAATTAAAAAAAAGAATCATCATTATTTACTACTTGGTTTGCATGTTATGGGATCTAAGTCCCAGAGACAGGCGCATTCATTATCCTGGTGGCCACTGTAGCCAGAGCTTCTATCAGGTGGCCACAAACACATATAGGTGCACTGTGGACATCCATCAACTGCTCTGCTTGATCTTTGTGAAAGCAAAATTATCTAACATATATTAGCACAGAGGCTTATACATGATAATATATTTAAACACTGTCAGAGAATAGAACTAGCTGAAACTTCCAGGGAATCAGAGGAATAAGGAAGTGCCATTTAAGAAATCTTTCCATAAACATTCTGTGTTTACTTTTTTGCATATTAATAAAGTAAGCTTTGTAAGAAATGTAAGTATAAAGTCTCGCCACTGAAAGAACATTGTTAATATGCTAAGCATTCCTATCAACATTTATCCTATATGCATATAGATACAATTTTAAAAGACTGGTATTGCATCATACACGCATTTTAAATAGAAAACTTGCCAAGTTTCAAAGTATAAAGATGAACTTAAACTAAACTAGGTTGTGTGCTTTACTTACATGTTTTAGGTGGTAATTCCAGAAAGCACAGAATCAGGTTTGCGTTGACTCATGCAGCAGCATACCAGAGACCTCTGCAGAGTAGGACAAAGAATTCTCATGGCAAATTTCTTAGAGTTGCTTATTTTTATTTAGAGATAAATCTCCTTCCCAGCCCCAGAAAAACTGATCACTGCTTATCTTTTCATCATTTCTAGCAAAAAAACACTGAACATAATTGTAAGGAAACTACCAAGATGTGTCTCTTTACCTTTGCCACAAACTTGCACATAATTCAGACTCTACTGGGGGACCTAGATGGTTATGGCTAGCCTATCAAAGTGTCAGGGGTGCTGCTGGCTTTCTGGGCTGTGAAGAAAAACAACTCTATCTGGAAATCTGGGACATAAATGTCTATGAGTACACAAGTGACATTTATAGATCCCAATATACCCATCCACTCATGAATAGATACGGCTGGCACCAAGTCACCAAGCATAAAAATATTGTGGGTGTTTATAACTTTTTTAAAAAGGCATTATTTGCATTTAAATCTAATTTCCAAAATAGTCTATGTAAAGAGTTGGGAATACAGGCTAAGAACTGAAGGGGAGGAAAAAGTGAAACATGTGCATATAAACATCACAGTCTATGTGCCTGGCATTTCATACTCTGAAGGAAGACTCACATTGTGCTTCCAGGTTTTTTTTTTTTAATGTTTATTTCTTTTCACCTACTTAAAAAACAGAGTGAGAAAGAAAAGAAAAGATATATATGGAGAACAAGAAAGCTCTTCTATTTGCTGATTCACTCCCTGAGTGTCTGCAAATATAGGGCTAGGCCAGGTTGAAGTCAGGAGCCAGGAACTCCACACAGGTTTGCAATGAGAACAGCAGAAAGCTAAGCCATTGAAGCACCATCTGCTGCCTCCCAGGACACATTGGCAGGAAACTGAACTGGAGGCAGAGTAGCTGGGACTCAAACTGCATACTCCAATATGGTTAGTGGGCACCCTAGGAAGCAACTGAATGTGCAATGCCTGCCAAGTTACTGCCTAGCTCCTTGAGTTTGGCTCAGTTACTAAGCCTGAACCTTCCTTTCTTCACCACCAAAATAAGGTAAGATAAAAAAGAAGAAAAAAATACCCTGTCAACAGTTTATCCAATTAGCCCACTCAAGCAGTGTAAGATATCCCATCCAGTCCCAGCAGTCTACAATTCTTACTGTTGAAAAATACATTGTGGAACTTTATACACTTGACTATATGGGTCATTGTATTTTGCTTCTTTGAAGGACACTGGCAGCTGTTTTTGCTAAATGTTTTGTTTGCTTAAAATTTCTTGTTTGGTATTCACCAACATGCCTAACGTTTCTTATTTCTGTCAGTTGTCCCCTGAAAGCTTCTGATACTGGCTGAAGGTTTGGTAGAGCCAAAACCCTGTGTGAGTGGGTTACCTGTAGGTGGAGACTGTTCATACAAGGAGGCGGTAGCCTGCTTCGAGAAAGCTGTGGTCATGAACACAGCCATCTCTGAGCTCTGGCAGGTGGACCGGGAACTGAGTGGGAAGCTAGAAGCCTGTTGTTGGGATTTTCAGGAGAGAAAGGTATTCAGCATGACTGATTGTTCATGTGAGAAAATAAAATTATGCCAAAGTCTTCTTGAACTCGTGGAAGGCAAAGGCTCCACCACCATTTACAAAACTTTCAAACTTTCATGAAAGGAACTGCTACCTGAAAATTGCCTGCTGTTTTGAACAAAGGCTTAGAGAATGAAAAGAAAATAAATTAACATCCAGTGGACTAGAATAAAGGCCATCCACACAGCTGTCATTGCCGTACGGCCAGAACTTTCTGGATGGGAGGAAACAAATTCGTGGAGATGCCCATTGCAGTCATCAGGAATCCTGTGCCAAGGCACTGCGATACTTCTGAAACCTAGAGTTGAATCAACAGTCCTTCCGGTTACTGACCACACTTTAGAATTTCCACCCTTATGAGCTAGGGTAAGGTTAATAATTTAAAATTTCTGCACATTCTTCATATTTCCCATTTGAAAGCAGAATTTACCTGTTCTACAACTGCTGATCTGTGAGATCACCATTTATATGAATTTCAAGGAGCTTTTGGAGTTAGATTATGAAAATATTCTCACCTATCCCAACCTACCTATCTGATCAATATTTCTCAATTTCCAAATTATTGATATTTGGGATCAAATCATTCTTTGTGGTGAAACTGTTTCCTGCATCATAGGATTCTCAGCAACATCCCTTCCTCTCCTCTCTTCTCCTCTCCTCCCTCCCCTCCCCTCCCCTCTCCTCCTCCTACCTCCATGTGACAACCTACAATGTTTCCAGGCACTGCCAAATGATTCAGGGGTGGGGGATGCCAGGGACAGCCATTCAGAATTCACTGTTTTAAGCTAGGGTGAGGACTTTCATCAAGGGCCAAAAGAAGGCTAAAGGGGGAAGGCGTTGGTGAGGATTTTTCCAGAATTCAGATATTTCTTCTCCAAGTTATTGTAATTTATGGACATACTCAAAGATGCTTTTAAGTGTTTGTAAGAAATTACTCTTATTCCAAGGAAAGTTAATATTATACATATTATTTTAGACTGCAACTTACAATTGCTTTTGTATAGAATGTCTTGATAGATTCAAATCTTTGTCTTAAACAATACTATTGATCCATTCATTATTTTCCTAACTTATCTCACTACCAGTCTTCCACTTGTGATAGCATCAAGTAATGTTTAACTTTCTTTCCACAAATTCTGTAAACCATTTTGATGTACCTTTGAAAAAAGCATCTTACTGAGATTTTTTTCCTGAAAAAATTTTTTACAAGATCTTATTTATTTAAAAAGCAGACCTAAAGAGATAGGAGATCTTCCATCTGCTGTTTTGCCCCCCGCAATGGCCACCATGGCCAGGACTGAGTCAGGCTGAAGAGCTTCTTCTGAATCTCTCATGTGGGTGCAGAGACCCAAGAACGTGGGTCATTCCTGTGCTGCTTTCCCAGGAGCATGGGTAGGGAGCTAGATCAGGAGCAGAGCAGCCAGGAATAGAATCCATGTCCAGATGGAATACTGGCATTGTAGGTGACAGTTTAATCTGTTACACCAAAATGCCAGTCCCAAACTGCAATTCATAAATTAAAGAACTCATTTTATCTACCGGTTACTGAAGCAAGTATTTTTAACTGGAAGGAACAGTTACCTAGCTGCTTTATACCTCATGTTGTCACACAGGTTTTCAGTATTTTCCTATTGGGAAAATTGTAGTTTGCATACAATGCTGACCTTACAAAATAATTTTCTAATTAAGTCTCACATGGTAAGAATGACTAGTAACTAAAATCTCTTAATATGTAGCTCAGACCCTCCCTTATCACTCTCACTCATCATGACTTCATATCATGACTTCTGTCTTGGCCCCAGAGAACAGAAAAACATTTCAAATGGTGGAGCGCTTTAGGTTTCCCATTCTACAGTTTGTTTCAACCATTGTTTATTGAACACTGTGGGCCAGGACTTGGGCTGATTTTAAGCTGATTTTTGTTTTAGCATTAAAATCCTAAGTATTTGTTTAAAAACCATGCTTTTCTTTATCCTTTAAATTACTTTGATGTCAATGAGTATTAATTACAGCAATAGATGGTTTCTTCATCTGTACATGCAGGACAGAAAACAGGAGGTAGAGAGGGCAGTTACAAAGAGCAAGATGGATTTCTCTAAGTTAAACATTTAGCTTATTTTATTTATTTATTTATTTTTAAAGATTTATTTATTTTTATTAGAAAGGCAGATCTACAGAGAGGAGGAGAGACAGGAAAATCCACCATCCATTGATTCACACCCCTTCCCCCCACCAAGCGGCTGCAATGGCTGGAGCTGAGCCAATCTGAAGCCAGGAGCCTAGTCTCCCATGTCGGTATAGCATCCCAAGGTCCTAGGCCATTCTTGACTGCTTTACCAGGCCACAAGTAGGGAGCTGGATGGGAAGCGGGGCCACTGGGATTAGAACTGGTGCTCATATGGGATCAAGGAGAGGGCTTTAGCCACTAGGCTACTGCTCAGGCCCTTTATTTTTAATGTTATTTACATATTTGAGAAGGATGTATGCCGATGTGGGCCACTGATTAGGTCAGATTATGGAGGAAGGATGGTGGGATATGTGTTTTCAATTTTTTTTCTTTTTCTCCTGTATCTGTGGGACAGGGGAGAGGATGAAGGAAAGGGGGCTGCTCCTTGCTGCCAAACTACATCAGCACCTGGAGGTGAAGGATCGTCATCTGATGACATCTTAGAGACCCTGATGTGTGAAAGGATGTTTTGAGGATGTTACTGTAGTGGTTTTCATAGTTCTGGGATGTTGCTGGTTTCATTTCTCCAGAGTTGAGAAAAACTTTCTGAGATCTATTGGTTGACAAAGTCCACTTTAATGCATCCACACTAAGACACTTGCTGCCAAAGCTTGGTCAGGAGATTTGTTCAACTTGTTCTGCTTTCTAGCTCAGACTGCACTCAGACCCAGCCTATAGGTATATCAACAGGTACTTTAGCCTGGCCTGGCCTGTCCCCAGCCTTGGCTCTTCAGCTCACCAGCAGGAGCTGTAGCCTAACAGGGAATTTCTCCCAAGTCCCCCTATCAGACCAGCTCCCAGCTATGGATCTCTTGCATGCTGCTAGGTACTTGGAATAGCCTGACATGGTCCACCTCCAGTCCTGGCATTCAGCATCAGGTATTTAGATCCTGCCGACTGGCCCATACTCATTCCAACTCTCACTGATGGGTGCTATAGCCCACCCACAATCTGGCCCACTTCCAGACCCAGTTCTCATGTGGACCAGCAGGTGCTGTAACCTAGCCCAAACTCATCCATCACCCACTCTGGCTCTTGCAAGTGCCAGAAAATACTTAGTCCAACCTGGCCCACCTACAGACTCAACCCACATGCATACTGAGAGGGTGCTGCAACCATGTTCAACTTGGTCTACATCCAGCCCCAGCTCTTGTGCTTACCAGTGGGTACTGCCAGCTAGCAAGGGAGTCCCCTTAGTTCCCCTACCAAGTCTGACCCAGTGCTGAGGGTG